GCATAAATCCACCAAAATGACCCAAACTGCAAGCATATGCTTTCAAATAATCCTGAATAATCCTTTGGATTAAAAGACTGCTCTCTCTCTCTCTCTCTTTAAAGTGGACAGGGAGCAGCAGAGATACAGTCATCTCCGCCCAGCTGGAAAACACAGACTATGATGACCTACATTATTGTACAGTGGGAACAGGCTCCAGAGACCTCGAGCATGCATCTCAACAGCCCAGCCTGCTCCAGCTTCAAGGCACAGGTTTAAAAAAGCAGACAAAAGAGTTCCAACCTAGATGCACAGAGGACTGTATGTTAAACACAGCGGCTGCAGATTAGCACACAGTGTTCCTGGAGGGCCCTCCCTCTGTTCCCTGCCTTTGATATTTGGCACAACCTGCCACCTCCAGGGGCAAGGCAGACTCAAGGGGAATGTTAAACGGTCCTTCCCTTTGAGATGAAATGTTCAATATGAATCATTGATGACCCCCAACTACCCCCAACCACCCAATTCTGATACCTTCCGGCTAAGATAACCCAGCAACACAAATGTTATGCTCTCATTAGGAGCACCTCTGCTAATTAGAGGCTAATTCATGGCAGACTGGTTTAACAGTGGTTGAGCATCACAGAAGAGGAGGCTGCTGTGCTCTTCATTTCACTGTGCTCTTCACTGGCTGCAGAAAGGAAGAATTATTGCAGAAATTGATATGATATTGCACACTTTGTTCCCCCCGATTCAACTCTCTTTTGATTTCTCTGTGAATGAGTACATGTGTGGTCAGGTAAAGGCAGAGTGTATGTGTCTCTCCTTATTAGTACCTGGAAGTTCATGTGTCATTTAGATGTGCAGAGGACAGCCCTGATAGCTGAGCCCTGTCCAGTCATGCCCAGAGGCATAAACACATTATTTCAATAGTTTTCTGTTTGCTGACATGTGTCTGGCCTTTTCCCTCTTGTTACAACCATGACCTAATGCCACATCACAACAGCACTGGAGCACTTTGTAAAAGCTTTAGATACAGCTAGGTGCTGAAATGAACATTGGGCTCTTTCCAGTGTGATGCATTCAATTACATTTTTTTTTTTGTAAGATCCAATTCGCTCTGGAATGTACTGGACTGCCCCCTCCTCCTCTCACTGACAGCAACGTGACTGCCACTGACTCTGCAGTCGATTCGACGCTTTGACGCTTTAGAAGAGCGTCGGGAGGTGTGACAGATCACGCAGCCTGATTGGTCAAGTAAGTTTAACAGCCACCATGAACGTCCAATCAGAGGCCGTCCATCTCGAGCGTTCGCGATGTCGTGCGTAATGGGAACATCTCGAAATAGGCTTTTATTAATGATCAACTACAACTGTGGTTTCGATGTTATGTTCTACTAACTCATATCAGAAGGCTCCTTTTTTCAAATAAAACATGTGTACACGAGCTGAATTTACTGATTTAACCTCTTCAACCAGAGTAAAAGAGGACTTTTGCGCCCCCGTGGCACACAACTGCAAAGCGCTCAACTACACGGAATCAGACCTACCCATCCCCCGTTATCTTGTATCCAGCTGTTCAGAGGTCCATTTAAATACTCAGTCATCCACTCCGCGATGTTGTCCACCTGCGCTGCCATCTCCTCCTTCGCCACGCACTCCACGCACACCGTGCCCCCGAACTCGAAGAAAGCGATAATCCGGCCCCAGTTCACCCCGTCCCGGAACAGTTCGTCTATCACCTCGGCGAATCTCCTCTGCGCCGTGGTGGAGGTGAGATACAGCTGCCGCGACATCTCCGTGAAGTCCGGCTGGTACAGTCTTTCAAGTTCGTCTCCAGCCTCGCGTAGGACTCTGTGGATGGCGGCATGCGGGTCGGACTGGGGGAGCCGTGTGCAGAGGTGGGGGATGCTCTCGCTGTCGGGCCCGGTGCTGGCTCCACGGCACCGGCGGACCAAACTCGGTGGAGGGGCAACTATTGACCCATTATTAGCGGCATCTGCATTACGGACAGCGTCAAACCCCCACTCGTAGCCCTGTTTGGAGAGTTTATGGCAGATATACTTTTCCACAATGTTGCGATTACACTCGTTCGCCATTCCGGCTTAATTTGGCACTTTGTACAGTCAGAGGTTGTCCTAAATGAAATGCATTATGCTCGAATGTGTGCGCTGTACGCTGCACAGCACAGGCTTATCCAAAAACTCGATTATATTTAGACAGAAGCAATGCAACGAGGGATCCCACACAGGGAGAAAAATGCTTCGGTAGTTGGGAAAAAAAAGAAAAAATAAACCTTGATCAAAACTGCGCAAAAAAACGTTTCAAAAGTCAAAAAATACAGAGTCCGTGTCAGCAGCAGTTTTCATTTCCGAATCCTTGGAGATACACTGGCGACCTTCTCTTTGCAGAAATCCAATATGCGGAAGAGGTTGGAGAAGTGCTGATCTATTCCTGTGCACATCATCCAGACGTGGATGTGTTGCGAATAAAAACATGAATGAGGGCCAAAGTTGTACGCGCCCGAAGGGGCTTTAAACGCCGCCAACTATTATAGCAGCGTTTACGCACAACGAGGCGCGGGACTGTGAGCCAGACAAGGTCGGACTGAGTCCTCTCCCACGATTGCTCCTCATATCCTCCTCACAGCTCCCTGCCCACTCCACGGAGGGCCGCGCTCTGCTGGTGAGGTATTCCTGACGTCAGCCACGCAAACTAATTCCTTTGGCTGCGCTCGGAGACTCCAAGTGCACATGAAGAACTGCACTGAAAATCATCGTTAACAGCCCCGATTCTCATGATTGCGCGTTTACACATTCAATTCTATGAGTGAAATTCAGGCCACTTCGCCCGTGCTCGCCCAGAGATGTGCAAAGCAGAGCTCTTAAAAGGGATCCTTGTTAGTTCATAGGGAGCACAGGAGCCTCCCATTCTGCTGAGAGGCTGCTTTGATGTGGTCCAGCCACCCCCTTGTGGATGAAGTTCCAACCTTGCGGTACAACATCGATGTGCTTGTATACGGTTTCCCTGGGCTCTTTGATTCCATATCTAGTGTCTATAATCTACCCTGCATGCCTTCTTATTCTCTGATGGGACAACAAAGCGTCTAAAATCCGGTTTTCTGCGAATCTGAGAGATGCTGCTCTGAAAAGTTCTCTCATGGAAGATTAAAATCTCATCTCCTCAAACAGAATACTTAAATTCCCACTGCCCTCCCGTAGTTTTATAAAGTAGCATAAAGCAAGATGAAACCATCTGTGACAAAGCAGTTTAAGAAGAGACAAAATAAATCTGACACCACCAACATCCATCGACTCTTAAAGACACTTTTGTTTTTCTTCACAGGTATTTATTTAGTTCATCATGTAAGAAAATAAGACAAAGAAACGTTCCACTTCTCACATTTTCTTTCAATGGCACACAAGGTGAAGGTGTTAAGTTTTTTGGCAGAAAAAAAAAGTAAACAAGCAAGAAAGAATGAAACAAGAGTGCATTATGACTTCCATGTTCAATACTTAATAACTCAAGTATCTGATGCTGACTCCATTAAATAGGGGAAACTAGTGACTGTTACAGAACTTACATATTGACTGTATGTTGAAACATACTGTAAGCATAGGCTTCATTTGCATAGCTTAAAGGTTAAAACAAAACTGCTTTTATATGGGCTACATGTTCTATCAACTACGTGTTGCTACCTCAAGGTAAAAGAGAACTTTTGATGGCAATAAATGTACAATTATGAAAAGCTCTTTGAGTGCAGGACAGTATGCCTTTAACCAATATCAAATGAGAACATCATCCAACATGAGTCATCCATTCTCACTTTCATATCTTGTAAGGCTTCTTTTTGTCATACAAAGACTGGAAATAGACAAAATACACAAAACAGCCGGCGTTTTACACTGAAAAGTATTAAAGATTAAGTATTAAATCAACTGGTAAACAACATGTAGGTTAAGCCACATTGTTCTGTGGACGGGTCCATTCTTATAGCATTAGCTTCATCAGTAGTCACGTCTTAAGGCTTAGAATGGGTCCCCACTCTGCTCCACAGCTTTAACAAACTAACTCTAAGATCAACTGAGCAGCAACATCGAAGTAAATCTCAAATAAATGCATTGCATCTACAGAAATTGTCTTAACACATTTTGGCATTCAAATATTGGTGTATTTAAAAATAATATTACTATGTTCTGATTTGTATGATTTGTATTAAAGTACATTCTCCCTGTTTATGATGGACCAAAGGAAGACTTTCAAGAGTCAACACTGTACTTTTTCTCCCTCTATATGCAAAACATATAGAAAAAAAAAAACATATGGTGAATTCAAGATTTTTTTTTTTAAAGGCTCGACAGAAATCAGGAGGGAATCGATATTGTCATTAAGGGAGCTACAAAGTCCCGAGTGTGCACGACAGGCTGACAGCAGGTCAAAATCAGAGGGACAAAGATCACACCTCCATGCTCGTCCCTCTAGGCTTTTATGTAAAACAAATCTCTAGCGCCCTCACTAGAACCGCAGGGACATGACTTGAACCAGCAAGTCTTGCCCTGCCCCTGACTTACACCACCCCAACAGATTATGGATCCCACTTGGGGTGGCTGAATATGTGCACTGACACATAACAACTGCATGTAAAATTGATAGGCTTCCTTTCATACATTAAATGAAGAATAGTGTATTCAAGTTGGTCAAATTCACAGGTAAAAGGGGAACTACCTGTGCTGGTTTTACTATCCTTTGACTTTTGACTTCATGGCTTCAACCCATAGTACCTGCTTTTCTTTCTCAATCAAATAAGATGGGGTGATGAGAAAATAATTTGGTGTGTTTATTCCCGAGACAATAAAAATCTAATGGCTTTTCTCTCCCCAAGGGAAGGCTCAGTCACAGCAGACACACACACACACACACACACACACGTTCATGCACACAGCTCACCCAAAAATCTTTGTCCCAACAGTGTCTACATTTTTTGAATATTATTATTTTCTGAAAATTATGTTTTTGCATTAGTAAAATTTAACAAACAATCAAACACTTCACACATGCTCTCTCTCTCTCTCTCTCTCTCTCTGATATCACTAAAGAGTAGCGCTGTATCAAATCTTGGCTTGGTTCAGACACAGAGCACAAAAACAAAATATCCCACAGCATAAACAAAACGCTGAGGGTCACAACTGGTTTCAAACACAGAGGTTATTCAGTCAAACAGGAAGATGCTTTGCCTGCAAAGACTTGTGGTGTGAGAGGGAGGGAGGGCCCATTTTAGTGGAAACTGTAAAATTCAATGTGGATCTAGTTTTCAAATACACGGAACAATATGACAAACGTTGAAAGTTACCCTTCTGGTTTTCAATATAGCCCCTAGTGGGAAGGAACTTAAAGCCATATTTGGCACAACCTGTCAGACAGGCTATCTGTTGCTTTTCCTCTCTCTGAGAAAACAAAACAAAACACAGCACTGTGTGAGTGAAGGCAGGGAGGCCTGATATCTGTCATTTTTTTCAGTGGTTTACAAAGCCTACCTACTTTAAAACCAGCTTACGGGATGTTTAGTCTGCCCTCACTCCCTTAAAGTAAGGCTGCTCCCACAAAAAGAAGCAGGTGGACACATTAAATGGAAAAAGTCACTGGAATGCTTTGAGAGGAAAAATCAAAACAACTGTGAAGTCTATGGAAGAGTTACATCACTGGACAAGCAAAGAGTAAACATCTGGCACTCTTTCATCCCACCTATTAAGTTGATTTCTAAAATACACTCAAAGCGTGGCCTTTTTCCCACCTACGGTTGTGCACTAGTACAGGCTGGAGGAGGGGATGGGACGGGGCTGTGTGTGTGTGTGTGTGTGTGTGGAAGAGTAGGGCATCGGGCTGTGAAGAGGGTAAGGCTTGCTGTTACTCCCTCTTGTCAGCTGCTTTCGACTGCTCCCTCTGAATCATGCAGCGGCGCACAATGCTGTCGAAACTCCCCAGGTAGAAGAGGGCGATGGTCCGAAACAATCCCATGGTAACAATCTGACCAGAAGAGAAATTGAGGTTAAAATTTTGCAAAATACTTCTCCGGCCAATGTGGCGATGTGATGTAGCCGTTGTTTACCTGCTGGAGTCCTTCTGTGATGGAGGTGACAGGTGACATTCCACAGGTGAGGGCTGACAGCATGTAGCCATCGGGTCCCACAGAGCTGTTGAAGTTTCCCTGCTACAGGAGCAAAGGAAATAACAACAGATTATCCATCGGCCTCCAAAATCATTTAGTTCGTATTTAAAATTAGACAAGAAGATTGGTGGGTCAGTGGCAGGTGAACTGGACTTCTTACCACTGCATCCCGAACAATGATTTTGGCCACTTGGTCTGGCTGGCAAACTCCAGATGTTTCAGAGATTAATCTGGTCTCTAGAGGCTAGTAGAGGAAATAGCAAAAGGAGGAAAATAAGGAAGTGGATTGGAAGTGAAATTGTGTTACTATGTATTGTGGTGAAGAGATTTTTACCTTTGTCTTATTTTCCTCAGCCAATCCTGGTGTGTCGGTGTCAGGGGGGTAGGCCACAGTCACATAGATATTGTATGGCTTTATCTGGAACAGAAGAACAGCAGCTTTCACTGAGCATTATGTCCTACCATCAGTAACAGAAGTGGTGGAAAAATACCAAGAGAGAGGCCAAAAGTTCACCTCCATCTGCAGCGACTCTGCTAAGCCACGCAGGGCAAACTTGGATGGGGAGTAGGCAGTGTATCCAAACAGGCCGATCTGGCCTGCTTGGGAGGACACAAACATGATGCGGCCCATTCTTCGCTCCTTCATGGTGGTTATGACGGCCCGTGTTGGGTAAACGCTGCCCAGGTAGTTCACTTCCATCAGTTTCTAATGGAAACAAGGCAAAATTCAAAAATATTAGAACGTGATTGACAGTAAAACAGCGCTGCATAAATGTAGATACACATTTCACAGCATGAATACTGTTGCAGTTTCTCTAATTAACTATGTGCTACTGATTGCAATTTGTTTTAAGTACTACCTTGGCATTTAATGTGTTTTTAAAGCTTTTCTGTAGATCTATTGGCAGAAATGGAAATATAAATATTGCATTGGTATGTTTTCATTAGTGTATAATCATCTGAACATAGGACTCTTTATATTTTTGTCATCGAAGAATGAGCCTGTTATATCTACAAATGTTCCATGGATTCAGCCATATTGAAGCACCATGTTTCTACAGTAGCTCAGAAGGGTCAAACCACACACTGGCTCTAGATATGGGTGTTTATATATATGGGTGCATTTTGTGCGTGTTTCACAGCCACCGTTGTTTCTCCTTTGTGCTTGGAAGAGGAGGGTGAAATGAGGGGGTTTCAATCTGCAACTACCCGGTACATCCCACTAAATCCTGCACACTGGACCTTTAACATATGGCCTTACTCAAATTAATTTGTTAAAACCCAAATATAATTAATTCATAAACTGATCTGCTTTTTATTCTGACAATTTTTTTATATCTCAGAGGTGTAAATATGAGTAGTGAATATTTTTTTATTTAAACTGTTTTAGTACTATTCAGAGCAGCTTAATGACTTCTGACCATTAACAAGAAAAAAAAAAACCCTCCCTGGTACCTACTTTAAAACGGTCCACTTCCACTTCTTCAAACTTCCCAGAAAAGGCTGTTCCAGCACAGTTCACCAACATATCAACAGGGCCCAGCTTCTCTTGAGCCTGGAGACAGGAAAAGGCCACTTCAATATACTGAAGCACTGAATTATTAAAGAAAAGCCGTTCCATTGTTGCTAAGAGGGTAACATTACCTGTTTTATCACACTTTCCACCTGGCTATAATCACTGGAAACATCCACTGATATGCAGAGCACCACCTGAGTAAGGAAATCGTACACAATCTTATGTAATGTAATACAAAAGGCCATCAGCTGCTATACCCTATATGAATACTGTATTCATTAATAAGTTTCATTAAAACAATATCTGAAAAGTAACATATTTTAGTCAAATAAATACTAAACCCATACCTGCTTGTCATTGATGGCAAATTTCTCCACCTCTTTCTTTGCTTGAAGCAATTTAGCCTGAGGGACAAAGTGCATATTTAATCTGTTAAAAAACCTTGTGTAAACTCATAGGAATGTCATCAAGTTTCACCTTTAAAACTACCCAAAAAGATGTAAAATCGTCACGACAAGAATGCTCACATGCAGGCGGACTGTACAACACAAATGTCAGATTTACACGTGAATGGAACAAATTCACCTTTAGAATACGTTTGACTGTGTTTGACATCAAACGAGTTAGCTTTAACAACAAACAGGTTGTCAATGATTGGTTGTGTGTGGTGTTTGTGCTGACCTCATCCCGTGCCACCAGAGTGATGAATGCTCCTTGTCTGTAGCACTCAACAGCAATGCATTTCCCAATCCCACTTGAGCCGCCTGTCACCTAAAAATTGAAATGGTAAGAAGATTATTAATCAAAGGTCAAATGTTGAGTAGTTGATCTGCAGCTCAAAGGCTGCAATTGTGTTTCCATAATGTTATGAAACTTAATAGTTAGAGATGTGCAAGTCAGTTCTGCCATGGTGTTACCACATCTGCATAATGAAATCTAACTAAACTCAGCTGACGATTTATAAGGTACAGCAGCTTAAAATTAATGTAGTCTGACGGTTTTAATGTTCAGTTTTTTTGCTTTAACAGTTTTATAGAGGGGTTATTTCAACTTCATAGTCGTTTCGGAGGCTGTAGTCTGGAGTGATGTTGTAATATATTCCGTTATGTTGAGCGGAGTTTCTAATATTTAGCTCTGTGACATAACCATGAAGACCAGTAACGTTAACGAAGTTGAATTAGAACCTCTTAATACATCTGTTTCAACAAAACTGAACATGCCACCCTCACTGGGGGCAGGATATAACGTTAATAGGTTAAATGTAGGTGTACCTTTGAAACTGTGACTAGCGTTAAGGGACGTTAGGGTTAGCTAACGTCACTTAACGTTAACTCATTAAGTGGGCGTGACGCTCCTCATAACTGTCGTTATAAATTAAGCACAAAAAATTGATTTTCATGTCAAACAGAAACGACTATTATCTGTAACAACAGTGCTAATAGGCACAATATTACATATCGTAACTTAATTACGTAAACTCAGCTGGAGTTAGAAAGCTTCGTTAGAATTAGAGCTATAAAGCTACGATGAGTGGACGTTGGCTGCCGTTACCAGCTCCACGACCGTTAACTAACGTTAGTTAACGGTAGTTAACGGTAGTTACCGTTAGCACTCCGGTGCACTTACCACGACGTGGGCCCCGTTCAGTTTCAATGGTTTGGGACTAATAAGAGGCGATATCATGTACAACAGCAACACAAACGCCACAATGAAGGCAGCAACTACAAGGAGCATGATGAATGGCAGAAGGAGCCACCAGGAATTGATAAAAAGCCAATCCGTGATCGTTGAGCTCAACCCTTCTTCAGAGGACATGGGTGAAATCAGGCAATCGTTAGCTTGTTTGCTAACTAGCAGGCCAGCTTCTGGGGTCCGATAACGGAGCGACGAGGTAGGCGGCGGCCGTGAAAGGGGGTGGCGAAACACGGACGCCGGAGGAGGGGTTGTTCCAGGGTTCGTCAGTAAGTCAAAGATGTGTAACGGCCTGGTTAAAGTACCGCGGTGGACTTCGGCTCCCTGTGACAAAGCGCAGTCTGCATAAACCAAAACAAATCGAACTGTGCACTGAAAACGAACGTCTAACCGTCGTACTTGGTACTTGTAGTTCTCGATTCGTGACGTTTCTCGACAATCCCAACATTGCTCGGGGGTGCATTGACAACAACTCCCACAATGCACAGCTCCGCTTCCTGATTCGTCGTATCCGTTGCAGTTGACAACACACCCACCAGCCACCGTATGCTGACTGTTCAGACAGTAAACACTGGCTCTTTTAAATTGTGTAACCTTTATTTATCTCTATTGTAAATATTTGTAAATAACAAGTCGTAAATTTGTTACAAAAAAGTAACCCGCTTTTCTTGACGTAGCTATAACTTTTATTTACATTATGGAAATGAAAAACAGGAAAATCTTATGCATGGGTGGCCTTTTGACGGAGAAAAGGCTCATGAGTAGACTATATGTATAGACATTTACAGTAAAATAAGAGATGTTCCCCATCAAAACTCAAAAGAGACAGTTTCACACCTTAGGAGCAAACGAGTACAGTTGTATACAATCTCTAACAGAGCTTACATGAAATGTGCAAGTATACATTTCTTAGTTGTAGTGACAAAGCACTGGATATATATGCAGTATGACCAATTTAGAAATAAACCAATAAAATAAAAATAAAAAGAATCTTGCAGCTTTTCTAGAAGGCACATGGTGCACACTGTAAGGCTACATAAAGTTCATTCTTGGAAATGCATTCTTATGTAGGAAAGTATACGAGAAGATGATCTCTCCACCTGAGCCATCAGTGTCAACACCTCCAACTTCAACACCTCAGTCTTATTTGAGAAAAATCCACAATGTGACTTTATCTTAGAATAAGGCTTAGTTTTTTGCAATTTGTATTCAGGATAATCAGCAAAGCCGGTGTGGATAGTGATGGAAAATATGTACATTAGATTGCGAAAAAAAAAAAAACATGAGCTGAGTGATAAAGTAATTCAAAGGTATTGAGTCCTTGTAAAATAATGCTGGTCTGGCACCACTGGTGATCCACTATAATAGTCATGTTCAATTCAAATGACATGAGTAAACAAATAGAGTTGTCATTTGTTAGGAAAATGGATAAACAATCCAAAAATTTCCACCGAGACCAATGCAGCTCTCATCCTGAGTGTCTCTGTCTCAAAACTTTAAACATCCACCACCTTGAGACATCTGACATATTTCACCAAAACAAATCCTACGAACTCATGCCATGCTTCGCTCCCCCAGCCCAAGATTTATACATTGCACAAAGTACAGTATACTCTATAAAATGCTTGTTTTATTCTTAATAGAAAATAGACATATGGGGTATTTATTAGTCTAATGAGATGTATTCGGACTGTAAAATAAGGACACGAGAGTTAGTCCATGCTTAAAATAAATTATCTTGATTTCAAAAGCCTCATTTGCAATAATTATTGTGTATGTCTGCTATTAGTTTCTTGAAGTTGCTTGGGTAATCTGCTCATTAATACCTTTAGTCTTTAGTGCATAAGTCAAACAACCCTTTAAATTCTCGATGTTGTCCTGATTCTTTTATCAGGTCAACTGCAGATGGGAAGTCTTTAATTTTCTTTGGACAATGGTGAATATCGAATAAAACTACATCTTCCACCCTTTGCGTGTAATCTTGCCATTTATGACAAATGACAAACTGCAAGGCCTGATGAATGATTATGATGAGACAGAGACATAAAAACAGGACAAGGACAGTAAAGAGAGACAATCACAATTCCTTTGCTTTGGTTTGGCTTGGCTCAAACACCCCACCTAGCCTTCCTGTCCAAAGTCCTCTGTGAATTTTTTCAGTTTGTCCAGATCTTGTTCATTGACTGTTGGCTTTGTGTTGGCCAGAGACCTCATCATGTCAGACTGAAAAGACAAAAAAAACCACAGTGTTATGGTGATATGATACTGAAGTGAGGTCTCTAATATGCATTTACAATACCACCTAGTATTTTATATCCTCACCATGCATACGATAGGCTCCAACAGCTTCTCCCCAGGGACTTCCATCCATGTCATTTCAATTGCGTTGGGATCGCCAGGTGAGCAAGGAGTCAAGAGGTCGTCTACAAGACTGTTGGGGTCAGTTCTTGATGGACCTCGTACCTTATTTAAACAAAATATAAGAAAAGAAACAAAAGCGACACTTAGTCCACTACAACATGTTACACTGAGGCATAAAACACAGACAGATATTTTAAAAGACGTACCCGTTTGAAGTGGGTTGCTGACTGGACCTTTCGAACAGGCTGCATTAGAGCGTCTCTGACAATGACACTGATATCTGCTCCCGAATATCCATCTGTCTTCTTGCCCAGAGTAGAAAAGTCAGATTCGGTGAGACTGAGGGGGGTCGAGCCCAGATGGAGCTTGAACATGAAGGAGCGGGCGTGCTCCTCAGGCAGCGGGATATAGATCCTCTTCTCAAATCTGAGGAAGATATTATTGGTGTACAGTGAGCACAAGTGAATGAAAACATATTTACTAACAATTTTCACCAAGTAATAACCATTACCTTCTCCTGATGGCTGAGTCCAGGGTCCATGGGATGTTTGTTGCTCCAAGTACCAGCACGCCTTCGTTGTCATTCCCCACACCTGCAAAACAAAAAAGTCAGGGTAAAAACCAGGGGTTTCACAGAATAGGTAACTATAAAACCAGTAGGTGACACTGTGCATCATTGTAGACCAAAGGTTTATCTGTAGTTTTAGCACAGTGCAGTTAAATCTTATCTCATCATGGAGCTGCGTATTAATTTGCTTAGCCCCTTCTTGTCCGGTGGGTCTCGTTCTCCCTCTCTTACATAAACACAAACAGTCAACCTCAGTAACCTACACTGTGCATTTACTGCAACAAATCTAGCTCACTTTTTTTCTTCTTTGTGTTCAGCCTCTGTAGCGATCTCTCTCTCTCTCTCTACACACATATGATATATATGACATACTGGCTGTGACTAGTCGACTACTTTTTGTGAGCCGTTGATCACGACTTAAATACATTTGTTATTAAATGATGATACTATGTTGCTTTCACTGACACATCGTGGTCCCCTCTAGCTTTCTATAGATCTGTGACCACATGTTACATTACAGGGCAGTGGCCCTGATCTGGTTGTTTACCAAGGTCAATATTGATTACAGATAAGCAACCTTCACCAAGTATCACTTATTTTGGGTCCATATCATATGAATTCTATTATGGATGGTCCTTCTATTGTACTATTATACACATTATTCACTTTGAACGAGGATGTAGTTTGAATATGTATTTTTAGCTAAAATAGAAAGTAGCTCTAACTTCCTCTTACTTTTAAGAAGTCACTGCTGTGCGTGAGTTTTCATCTTAAAAACATGTTGCGATTCTGAACACACCTCAATCAGTGATGTCACACCAGGTGTTTTTCCCTCACCTGTCACGGAGCATATCTGCTCTGACATCTACTTATGGGTGTGACCAGAATCAGCATGCTATAAAGTTTGATTCGGCTGCAGCAGACAAGCCATTAATATGAAACTTTTGGCAGCCAACAACCTAAATATTTTAAGGTTACCCAAAAGTACCTTCTTTTATTTTATTTATTTTCTCCTGTGCACAGCTCGAGTTTCTGTGGCAATACATCTGTCTATCCCATGCTATGGAACTATAATGATATCAGTAAAAGTGGGAACGGTTTCCCTGAGAGAACATATTTGATGTATCACAACAACATTCAGTAATTACAAACACTTGTTTTAGCTCATCAGTTTTACCTTGCATCTGAACCAGGAACTCTGTCTTAATGCGGCGAGCAGCCTCACTCTCGTTCTCACTTCTTGAGCCACACAGTGAGTCGATCTCATCAATGAAGATGATAGAAGGCTTGTGCTCCCTTGCAAGGCTAAAAAGATTCTTCACCAACCTGGGAAGAAAAAAGGACGTTTTTTTAAAAACAAATTACATAGCAACACTGCTGGCTGCAGTACATTTTTATACTTAACCGATCTTTGGTGGATTATTGTTAATATGGCTTACTTTTCACTCTCTCCCAGCCATTTGGAGACGAGGTCAGACGAGGAGATGGAGAAGAAGGTTGAGTTGTTTGCCTCTGTGGCGACAGCTTTAGCCAGATAGGACTTTCCTGTACCTGGAGGTCCAAAGAGCAAGATCCCTCTCCATGGAGTCCTCTTTCCTGTCAGTCGAACAAAAGGGTAATTTTGATTATGTCCCAAAAAGACCAATCAATCAGTTTCACTCTGAAACAATGGTTTCATGCAATATAGATGTTTGCCTCTATTATTTCATAGCAAAGCGATGAAGTAGCCTTCCTATAAAACATGATTTAATACCTGTGAAAAGGTGGGGGAATTTGATTGGAAGAATAACAGCTTCTTTCAGTGCCTCCTTGGCTCCCTCTAAACCAGCAACATCATTCCATTTGATGTTTGGTTTCTCCATAACAATTGCACCTGGAAGAATACCACTACGTCAGTGAGGAGGCTAAATGATGCCTCATTATGACGGACTGCATGCAACAAACAAATACTACAACAACCAAATTCAGATTAAAAAAACAAACCACAAAGCCTGCTGAAGACTAAAGTCCCAAAAAGGAATATTACAAACCTGAGAGTTGATTTTGGAACTTCTTTTTTTCTGGATCATCACCTTCATCACTTTCATTCCTGGAAACATTTTTTGTTTTTTAAAATTCTTAAAAAATATAATATATATCATTTTGTCTGTATATCAAGTAATAAAGTAATTTATCATATTTTCTATATATAAAAAACAACATTGATTTCCCATCCAGGTCTGGACGGCATCACGAGTAGATATACCCAACTGCCCCACCCGTATACACACCCTTTGTCATCAGACTGTGACTCTTTGACAGGCTTAGAGGGAGGAGCTTTCTCTTTCTTCTTTAGATACTCCTTCAACTTTTCTGCCCTGTCCAAGTATTCAGCACATTTTGCCCGGATGCTCTGTCTGGCTTTGTCACCCTGGGCTTCATCTGTCAAGAAAAAGCACAAAAAAAATGTACACAGAAATTATTTCAGGCTTGAGCATTTGGTCCCAAAAGAGACATCACCTTCCTCTTAGCATTTCAACATCTAACTATTACCTAATACATTTTTTTTTTTTTTACAATGTTCTTTGTCGTCACCATTATTATGCCAGTAAGCAAAATAGCTTGCATGTCATTTGAGAAATATGAAGCCACAACAAGCTACAGGCATGTCAAGGATTATTATTAGATTGTGGCTCCTGTTGTGTGTCATTGTTAGACTGTGTACACTGTGGACTTAATGCCAATGTGCTGTTTTATGCCTTACATTTCACCACATGAAGGAAGTACTGAACAGCAGATTGGTACAGTCGCAGAGCCTCCTCATAGTTCTGAGCTTTATCCTCCTGAGCCGCCTTGCTGGCAAGATCAATAGCTTTCTATAAAAACAGAGACACAGATCAGTGTTAGTTATACTCACACCTGTAGGCTAGAAGAGGACAGACAACTGAGTGAGCTTAATCACAATGTCTCTGATTAAGAAAACGTCACAACACATAGCAGCCAATCAAAACAAAGATCACAACAAAAGACAAATGGAAGCACAGGAAGTTACTAATTAACTAAATAAAAACGACAAATACTTAAGTGAATATGTCAGTTTGGCTTCTACGCATATATATACACATATATATGCGTAAAGACTGGAGTGAATACTAACTTACATCTGTCCAATGTGGTGACACTACGCACACCGAGGGAGGAGTGCCTGAACCTTCATTTGGATATGCTTTCTTTCACTTCCTATTGGTTACCGTAGCTATAAAATGTAACTTTAACACTAACAGTACCTGTAATATAATCTCGACAGAATAAACGCACAATAGTTTGGCTTTCTATTTGAGCTGGATGTCGTTTTAGAGGCCAAATAACACCAAGTTAGCCAGCTAGCAGCGTTAATCCCATTAGCTGCCCCCCTTTTTTTCGTCAATACAAGCTCACGATAATGTCATACCGCAGTTACCACCACTGCATATAGTGTAACAACGGACAACACCAGCCTTTACACTACATATACCACAATGCCACCTTCTGACGGTCACACGTCGACGTTTACTGACTGAATTTGTGTATGGGTTAGCTGAGTTAGCATGCTAATTAGCCGCTAATGTTACAAACGTTACGCTGTTTTACTCCGTTGCAAACATTTATACCGAACTCCACCTAACAAAGATATACCAGACGTTTCCACGAGTAGCAACTGCTGTACTTTTTTTCAGTTTAATCGTAGAGCTGCACAACTTTGTCAGCTTATTTAATAGTTAAGTTATCGCCAGCCGTTTTAGCCACCTCTGGGTTTGGTCCTCAACTTACCTGTAAATTATTGTTGGTAGCCATAAGGGCCGATCACTTGTCCAACAATCGAAACGAGTGTGATCCCGCCGTGAGTAAACAACTTTTAAACACACTGCTTTAGAAATTAACCCCACAGGTTGACTTTTAACTCGACAATCGACGTTTTTGTGAGGCTTGTTTTCGTTTCTCAGATCGCTCCCGACTGAGACCGAGGAGGGAACTTCCGCATTAAGAGTCGATACTCGCGTGCACGGAATGCGATGACGTCAAGACGTAGCCTCGGTTACAGTTCAGAGTCTCTTACTTTGAAAAAAACAAGTAGCTTACTTTTTTTTTTTTTTTACAATTAACATTATCAATTTGTTCTGTTTTAAAACTTAATTAAGATAAGCGGTCGATTTGGACTACATTTGTCACCTTTTTCTTATTTTCTGTTCCAGTGGCTTCTTATGTGGTGTCTTTGGTTAGAGGTTAACCCATAGCCCATACCATCTACCTTTTTATGTGAGACTACAGTATATGGGTTGACCAAAATAATACCGGACTATGAATGAACTATTAACCCTGTAATTGTAACATGAGACATTTTAACATGTATTTTCTAGCAACCGTCTGGCACTTAACCACAATTAATCCCTGAATTAGATTTCAACTAAAAAGTCCACTCATGCTGCAGCACTTTCACACAGTTAAAAAAAAAAAAAAAAGAAAAGCAACCTCTTTATTCACTAGGTACTCCTGCAGTTCTTCCACCCTGTCCAGGTATTGTTTACATGTATCTCTTATCTTCTGGTTGCCATCTTTACCCTGGGGTTCACCTGATGGGAAAGAGAACATTCATTTAACACCACTCAGTAGTGTTGTTGTAGTGGTAATTTCGCTTGTAGATGCTAACGGGGCCATCAGGCAGAGACGGTGATGGACACCCATAGGGGGACCTGAATGGTTAAGTTGTTGTAGGTGTGGTGACGCACGTTTTACAATGTGCAGAAAGTACTTGACAGCGTGTTGGTAGGAGCGGATGGCCTCCTCATAGTTCCCATCCTGGTCTTCCTGTGAAGCCTTTTGTGCTACGGCAATAGCTTTCTGAAAGAGCAGGAAATGAATCAATAAAACTATATGTTTCTAATAAAATCACTACATAACAGTCTGTATAGGAATCTTAAACTCAACAAAAGTAATATAATACAGCATTGTTATTATAGTAAAAGCAGTTAGTACCACAGATTATAAATATAGCATTATCATTTATAAAAATGCTTTGGAGCTGAAATGATTCAAATGATAAACAAAACAAACAAAATCAATGTCATTTTAATCATTTAATTTATAATAATATAAAATATAATATAATAAATATAATAATAGACAGTAAGTGTTATTGAAAGAAAGTGTGATTCATAACATTAATCATAGCAAAGTGCCAGTGAGCCTACATGGATAATATCAGGGCCCTGAACCTGCTTTAAGTTATATGTATTGTTATTACTAAACTTGTGCTTTTCTGTGATTACTGTAAAGGAGGTCTGTCCCAAAAATGTACTCATTGACATTATCAGCATTGATTTTTTAGTAAATGGTCAATCACTTCAGTATTAAGTGTCCGTCCAAATCTTTCTCTGATGTGACCAAATTAATGAAATGTCTGAATCTCTGCTCAAATGTTGTCTATGTCCAACTATCAACTCTGTCCAGTTATACTGCAGTTTGTCTATTAAAACAGAGTTAAAGTAAACTGAATTAGAAACTGAACCCTACAGCTCTAAGTGAGTTATTAAAATTAGCAGAGGGTCTATGTGAATTCCACCTGATCTAGGATCCCCCCCACCTGTCAGAGGGTACCTGCTATTTTGACCAATGAGAACTACACTGCATATCAGATGTGCTATCTAGGATATAAAACCATTATAAACCTCTCAGATCACAGAAAGAATATTACAACTGGCCACAGTCCCTGCTTAAAATATTTAATTAGGCTACCTGTGAATTAATCATTTCACAGACTACCACTGAATGTGTGGACTTGATGTGAATGACTATTTTTGGTCAGTGATAGAGTTCAGTCAGCTCTCAACATTCAAACTAAAGAAATTGCTTATTTAGTGTTAATAAAACACAGGAAGTCACTTTAAATGAGCACACAATAAAATGGAAAAGTTGTCAAACTGAAACCCGCCAGATTACATACAGACAATAACACTCGGTGGATTTGTCCCCATCTGAGACACTTGTTTCCATAAACGAGGAGCTTCCAGCCTTACAGATCATTATTCATCCTACCTGTAGATTTGTTGGCTCCATGCGGAGTCCTGTGCGGGGTTACAAACACAACAGAGTCGACCCGTGATCCCGGCCACTTCTGTTTCGTTTACACGGTCTGTCAGTGTACAACCAGTTCCTGTTTGCTTTATCACTCCCTCCGCACTGACACATGCGTTAAAGAAAGCAGTCTGCCCAGTCACAGGAATGGGAACGATGCTGGGACAACCCTCCTGCCACTGAGTCACAGCGCTCAGGCTCAATGTTGTCGTGCAAGTTACAAAGACAAGACAAGTTGCTGACCCAAATAGAATTACACACATATTAACTTTCACTGACAATCCCGTTTTGGGGCAGTGGGCAACACGATGCAAGAAAATAAGACATTTAAGAGTCGTACTTGTAACACAATATGGTAGCTCAACAAAATGCCAAGTGACCGATGCCTGGGACCGAGAAGATCTACTTCCACCAATAACTCTCGTGTGATGACTGTGCGCTCCGCTAGAGGGCGCCCCAAGATCAAAGATCATTGTAAAAGGCTCTACGATGTTTGAAACCTGTTAACCCGCTGCTGGAGTCATTTCTAGGTTTGGAGCTGGTTATAAGGGGTAATACTATTCTATAAAAACTTAAAAAATATAAGAATACAGATGAAAATAATAAGATGCGTTAAAACAAGATGTGTATAGAAGCTTATACTTATACAAGTTATGGCTAGGCAATTTAATTTAATTTAAAAATCTAACATTTCTATTTGTTTTGCATTTCACTTATAAGTGTCAGCCAATTCAAATTGCCTTTGAAAGGACAGAATACTTCTATAAATGACATGCAACAACATTGTCAAAAGCGGTTCCTTGTTGATGATGATGGTTAAAATGACAGGGTATTAAAAAACAAGCTTTCTTTGTAGGAAAGTTAGCAGAAAGCGGAGAAAGGCTTGCTGCTGGAAAACGCAGTGTAAACTGTGATAGGGGACCTTTGGCCCCACTCTGTGGATTAGAGTCGAGCTCAGAAAATCTACAGCCTGACACCTGATAGCTTCAGTGTAGCGCACAGTTTGGTCAGGAAGACGTGGAGCTGACGTTGTTAGTTTGGAAACATGCGGCGGAAAGAGAGCACACCGTCAACAGCAAGAAGATCAACTCTTTCCCACTGACATTAGCGGACGTGTAGTCCTACTGAGAGAGTCCCGCGCGTAACCCGCGTAGCCCATCAGGCGCATTTTATGGAGATCTATAGATGACAAGACCTGCACGCTGCGGGTTGCTCTCAGCATCTACTGGGATCTCTAACATGGCGAGAGGGATGAGAGGAGCTCATCTCCTCACTCTATTTTTCACCTTTTTAGTAACACTTTTGAGGGACGCAGATGGACAAGAGACTTCTAATGGCTTAACAGGTTTTAGTTTGAGTCCTCCGTATTTCAACCTCGCTCAGGGGACTAGTATCTCTGCCACAGCAACCTGCGGCCAGGATGAGTCTGGGACACCGAGATATGATTTATACTGTAAACTTGTCGGAGGACCGACCACCGGAGTCCTTACTCAAAATATACAGGTAAGAAAAAGCTGGATGCGATCTCACTAAAGCTTTCGGTCCGTGCGTAAAGGTGAATAACAGCAATGTGCCTGCACTGAAAGAGGGCATTACATTGTAGTCGGTAACATATAGTGAACATTATGTTATATTCAATATATAACCATTAACAGAAAGTATGTTTAGTTGTTTTTATAAAGATGGTCCCTCATAAATATGTTCTGTGTGTTTGTAAAAGCTCTCGCCCGACCAAGTTGTACAAGTGCCAGAAATAGTTTTACACCATTGTAGTTGAGTTTTCTAAGGAAATGCCCTTTCAAAAGTGGTCTTGTCCCCTCAGGAGTTATTCTGAAAGGCCCTACATTGCTGTAAGAAGAGTACTTTGATGTGGGCACACACCAACTTTTTTCTAAACTTAATATTCGCTTGTGGTTGCAACATTTTTCATACTTGCATTGGGTTTGTTATTTGCCAGCGGCTGTCTCCATTGTAAAAGCCACTGGCAGTTTGCTGCAATCACTTGGTTGTGTATGTTTCTGAATTGCAACAATATGACACCATTTAGGGTCAGTTCTGTGACTACTGCAACACCGCTGACCCAAGCAAAGCCCACCCGGTGACCAACGCCATCGATGGGACAGAGCGCTGGTGGCAGAGCCCTCCTCTCTCCAGAGGACTGGGCTACAACGAGGTGAATGTCACCCTGGACCTTGGACAGGTGAGATTATCATACCTTACTCTGCTATGCACAGCTGTTTACCTGCTGCTACCTGCAGTTTGAATGATGATTGCTGTGGGGTGACAGTAAAATATAGCGCTGGGATGTTACTGAGGCAGTGTGAAGGAACGTGTTTGCTGCTTTTGGTCTTTGCAGCTTTGATATGAGCTATGTCATTTTGTGAGAGGCAGCAGAGCACCATCACTGGTGTAAAATTGGAAATTGCAATCTTTTTTTTGCACCATGTTCTTCTGCAGCATTGTGTTTTGCTGCTGCTTATTTGTTTTGGGTATATGCAAGGATAAAGCTGCCTGACACATGGTGTTTCATTCACAAAATATCCCAAAGGTGTTACATGATGATATTTTCAGTTTGAGCTTCATCACCTCAGCCAGCAGTGATCATGTGAATAATGGGCTGCACTTGGATGCTTGCCAGGAATCAGATTCACGCCCCTTTGGCCAGCGAATATGCTTCCATCATGACCCGTGTCTCTGGCAGGAGTTTGGCTCACGGCCCATAAAATTGCACCTCACGCTCAATTATCCACTGTGAGGAAAGAGAGGAATTCTGTCTTGGGATTAGGGATCAGAAGGATGTAAAATCAGATTCAGGGGAGCGCAGGTGGAGGCATGGACCTCTTGTGTGAGGAGGGTTTTGACCAGTTTTGGAGTAGACTTCAAAAAGAGAGCAACAATAGAGCTCCTCTCTACACGTGTTGCATATTTGGCTCTCAGTGGGCACTGTGTCAGACAATGGGTGTTGGCTTTTCTATCTCTGTTTTTAGACAGACCGAGCTGAGCAAAAGATACTGCACGGTTAAATATAGTCCACACTTAGAAGAGGATGGACACATGCAGGGCCTGTAGGGATGTCTGACTTTAATACATGGTAATGCTCAGTTTATTTGGGAGTGGGGAAAGTAGCGTTATTGCATTATGGTGTGCTAAAAAGAGCATGGCTAGATCTCCTGATGGTGACTACCAACCACCCAACACTCTGCCCTCCCTCACTACAACACCACCACCTCACCACATACACACACACACACACACCTGTCACACACATTTTTCTTTTCATAGCATCTGATGCAACCACCAAGAGTGTAAACAATGCTCACCTGCCACCATTTAAGCCATATGGTTGTTTTAGCACTGAAATTCTGTGAAGAAAAAGGTCTCAGCATTCTTCTTTACTGAAAACAACAGATTTAGCAAGCGCTCCCATATAAACAGAAGAAAGAAAAGACTGAAAATGAATACAATATCACTGCTTATATTTAAAATAGCTCATGATTTGGGTTTGGAATTAGGTGGAGTTTTATTTCCCAACCAGTGTGCTTTATTGCTGTCCTCCACCCTACACATACAAGATCAATTATTATCCAAGACAGGAATAAAGCTGTCAAGTTGTTTGATTGTTCCACGTGAAGCTTTGATAGCTTTGTAGATTTAAAAAAAAAAAAAATAATCCACAGGGATAAATGATGTGTTCAATGCTTTATGTGGGTGAGACCTAGCTGAATGGGGTTGTGGTTTTCTTTCAAGACCAGCGCAGGTGGCTGTTTTGCTGTTATCTGCGTGGCTCTCAGTAGATATATTAGATAATGGCACAGTAGATGTTTAGGTTAAAAGAGTGAAGTTCAAAGAGAGAGCTGTTTCCGTTTTTTCTGTGAAGAGGATTGTTTGAAAAAGGGTCTACCGAGTTTAAAGCTATCTGACTAAAAATGACCTCGATATTTTCTCAGACAAATTAAACCAGAACTGGGCATTAAATACCATTTTCAGCATTATTAGATATAAAATCTTTTGGAGGTGTTGGTCTGTCGGACAGTCTGTCATTTATGTCCAGACTGACATATCTCAAAAACTGGTTCGATGGATTGCTAATCATGGTCCCCAGAGAATGAACCCTATTGACCCTATTGAGGAACCCCTGACTTTACCTTTAGTGCCACCATGAGGTTGACCTCTTTGAGTTTTAGACAAATGTGTCACTATTGGGGCACCCAGATAGCCCCATGTACTGACATTACCATCAGCCTCTACTTTGTGTTTTGTATGCCTGCTAAACATCAGCATGTTTGTATTGTCATTGTGAGAATGGTAGCGTGCTGATTTACCTCTTTGCACAGAGCTGCTTGCAGGGCTGTAGCCTAGTCTAGTTTTCACTCAATCTATCTTCAAATCTTGGTGCTACTACCAGCCCAGAGGCTGAGGGCTTCTAGTGACGTGATCAATCTCTAAATCGCCTCCAGCTCAGGGCTCTCCTCCGGATAAGCCATGTGTCTCAGACAGGCCAATGCAAGCAGGTTAGCTGCTCTCTGTTTTTGTGACTTCTTGGCTTTTGACCCGTGACCCATGACAAATCCTACATTGAGTGAGGAAATAACCTCAGTGATCTTCAGCTGGCTTCTGTATGGATGAGGATGAAATTTGTCATAAAGCTGATTAACCTCTAAAGTAGTTGACCAAAATAGTTGTTTATGTGAGCACAGATGTTAAGTGATTGTTACTAATACAGCTTTTGTATATGTTTATCTCTTGTTCATTTTGTTCACCCCAATGCATTCATATGTCAAGAACCAGTGAACCATTTCTTGTCCATCCCATTTAAAGTTTAAAACTACTTTTCCAGGAAATTGTGCCCTTGGTAAACTATTTGCAGGACACAGTAGGCAAGCCATTGTTCTGGTAAACATTTACACCACATATCAGATGTGTCAGTCACTCCTTTTTTCTGGGGAATGTATTTTAGGAGCCCTGACCGCATGTGCTTATCTGCCTGAGTGAGCCCAGAGTAGACCATGTGAGGCAAACATACCGGGGCTTACTGTTGTCTGTCTCTCATCTGATGAGACTGAGCTGCTTTTGAATGGTTGGTGTCCAGTACTGAATGAACATCGGACATTACTGGTTTAAATGAAGTTCTGTTTAGTCACCGGATTGTTGTACAAGGGACTTGACTGGTATTTTTATGTTAAGGTTAAGGCTGTGGATTAGTTCTGTGGGTGACAGGTGTTTAATGTGTTGATGATGGAGCTTTGCGTGGTGGTTTTGTGGCTTAAAATGGACAGATTACAGATCTAGTTTTTTATGTGATTTATAGGCTATTTGCTCAGCAGGCTATGAAGCTGCGTATACGTGCTTTTCACTTTGTAGGGTATGTGAATAAGGGCAGGAACAATGACTTTAAAGGATAAAGTTGGAAGTAAAGTTTGGCACTGCTCACAGTTCTGCAATCGTCAAGAGAGAAAGCATCCAAGAACTCAATTTTAGAGACATTCCCTGAAACCTAATCCCCTCTCTCAGGGGTCCACCTCCCACAGAAGTTGGTTTGAATGTTTTATTTGCAGCCGTTGCCCCCTTTTGTGTTTGAATCCTTCTAGACGGTATTGTGTGACATCCTTTCTGTGCTCACGGACTCTCACAAAGGTTGGGTTCTTTTTAAGAATCACTGAAAGTGACCTGGTCCTCTCTTTTCACTAGATAAATGGATAGAAAAGGAGAGGTGGTGTAATTTGGTGGTGAGAAAGTACTTCAACAGAAAACACACACAAACACACAAGTCTCAGACTGAAAACATTCCTCTTTCCCTTGACAAATGCCCTCATACTGAGCAAACGTTCAGATAGCACCAAACATGATGCATGCATGCATGTGTGATTGTCTGTACAAGGATTAATTGTGCATGGCTGCATCCCTCATACAACAGGTGGTTAGCAAATAGAGGCTATAATCCTATAGTAATTGAGGTGTCATGTGTTGTGTTTTCTTTAAATATATAATCTAAAAAATCTTGTTGAAAATCCATCCCGTTGTATATGCTTGGTAATAAATATTTGTTCATGCAGTGCAGCTGGCTCTGTCCTACCCTAGTGACAAGATTGATTGTTAAATATGTCCCTATTGCTGTGGTGACGATGGAGGTGATGTAAGTGCCTGTCTTTAGCCAGGCTGCCTGAGGCGCCAGGCCAACCCAGCAGATATTTACTACTCCACTAACAGCCACCCCGTGCTAGTTAGCAGTATAGCCGCCTGGCTTGGCAAGTGTATCACGGGTGACTGTTGGACCGCAGTTCCCCCTAAATCTGGAGCTTCGATGTGGAAAGGCTTGTGGGGGTTAATGTGGGATCTATTCACTTTTCAAGGCCTTTGTCATGAATTCATATATGGAAATGCTAATCAGTGGTCACAGGTTTACTGACGCAGGCATTGATGCAATGGGATGTGTTGGAGAGCAGGAGTTTTCCTAGACGCATTTGATAGGGCTGTTTCATGAATAGTACACCCATGTGCATGCTTTCAATTAAGGTCATTGATAGACCTGGAAGGAAATACTGTAAAATATTGCCATATTACAATAGTTTCCATTATTGCAGAATAATTATATTTTGTACTCACCCTTTTCTTGAGTAAACAGTTTTTTTTAGTAACTATAACAAAGATTTACATAACATAGATTATGTACTATATAATTTAATCATTTCAGAGAGATTATTTAACAAGTAACAATTGGTAAAATACTACATTTCTAACATTCCTGACAACCTGAACACATTGATCTTAACACTAAATTTTATAGAATAGATATTGCCATTTGCATGGTTTCTTAAGATTATTTAATAATAGGCATTATATAATCAATAATGTCATTTCATAAATATGAGAACATGTTGTGTTAAAAACAGAAAAGCAAACCGACAATTCTCGAACAGCTGTACCTTAAGCTTTAACAATGTGAAGTTTGCTAACATGTAGAAACTCGAATATACTGTATGTTTTCTGCTACACTTACAGCTCTCTTGTGACTTCTTGCCAATCTTTCTTTGTTACCTTATAACTAATTCTGTCATGGAGACAGAGAAAAATACACCAGACTACCCTCTCCCCTTCCCCCTCCCACCTGTTGCACACAGACAAACAGTTGCACATTGCATTGTTACACACTGGAGGGCAACTGCTGTGTCTGGCAGGGCTGATGCACTCCAACAGAAGGCG